CAAGAAAAATTAATCCAAGAATTAACTGAATTGTGAGATTTTAATGTGTTCAATTACAACTAAAATGTAGAAGTTGAACAAAGGAGGTAGTCTTGCGATACAATTGAGAAATAAGCAAATTAATCTTAGAAATGGAGGAAAAATCTATTTGACTGTTATCTTTCTGCCTCTGTACTTGAGGCCTCTGGTCTTGAAAAATTCCTATTCGCAGGGACATTCTGCTGTCATTGTGTCAATCTTCCACTTCCCCCAGCATTTACCCACACACTCACATGCAGTCATAAAGCTGAAGGTAGCTTAGGTTCTGGAGGACTGAACAATAGTCAGCACTGAGTTTTCTGGGACAGAAAGCATTAGAGTGCTGAAATCATGGGGTAAGGACATGACTAAATCCTAACATGTAATAAAATAACCAAGCTTTATGCAAAGCTCTTTGACAATGTGCCCTTTGGGTTATTATCACCACATATCAGTCAAATGCCCAATAGTGATTTGTTTTTCTTTTGTTTTACTTTTGGTGTGATAGCACTCATTTTACTTTTGGACCAGCTAATATTTGTTGTAAGCAGTTCATGATGACATATTTCATAGAATTGACAGGGAATGCTTTTAACCTTAAATTTACCCATTGTATATTAGTGCCTAATACAAGCATAAAGTAAGATGCTATGGTGATGACACTAGTACTGTAGACAATAATTTACTGTGGCACCTTATACATGCCAGACACTGTTCTAGCAATTTACAGACGTGAACTTATTTGATGATAACTTATGGAAATGGGATATAGCCAGTAAGTGCTTTCTGACAAGCCTCCCTGCTCCTGTATGTCCTCCCCACCAGGTTGTATATCTCCTCAGCATCAACCATTAAGGAAGCATTTTAACGGGCTGAAGCTGGACGCCAGAATAATTTAGGTTGCCGTCTGTGTTCCTGGTTGAGCTACTGTCTCTTGGTTGCAAATCCACCCCTCTATACTTTATCACACTGGTGCTAAACTGCAGTTTTTATTTCTCTTTTTAAGACGCCTCCTACTCAGTTCTGAGGATAGGAGGTGCTACAGGAAGGTGAGGCAGAAGAAAAATGAAGGTACCTCCCCATCTCATCCCAAGGCTGTCCTTGCATAAGGACCGTCCTGATAAAGACCCTCAGCTCCACAAGCAGTATGTGGTCAGCCTCTAGCTTCTCATTGTGTTCTCCCAGAACCAGCCTCGTCATGGCCCAGGCATTATCCCCTTCCTAAACATCTGCGCCCTGTCTCCTCGGGAATCTTCCCCAAAGTGATAACCCCATCACTTTTCTTTTCTTCTCTATCCCTAAGAAGAGTAGCTTTTTCTTTATCTGGACTGTACTTGATACAAGAATATTGTGAGATTTATTTGGTCCTTCCCATGCCCTTTCATGAACAGTAATGTCCTTTCCAATGGGAAATGAGGTATTAGTAATTCATAATATGAAGTCACATCACATGTAATTAAAATGATTGCTTCTTGTTGATTGCAATGAAATACCCTGAGAACCAAGTGTCCTCAAACATGAACTTTTATAATACTTATGATGTCCACAAGAGGCCTGGTGCATGAAATTTGTGCATGGGGAGGGGGGGGGGATGTTCCTCAGCCCAGCCTGCACCCTCTCCAATCTGGCACCCCTCAAGGGATGTCCGACTGCCTTAGGCCTGATCCCAGTAGGATCCAGAACTGTTGGCTTCCAACTGCACACCTCCCTGTCTTCCTGATTGCTCCTAATTGCTTCTGCTTACCAGCCTGATCACTCCCTAACCACTCCCCTGCCAGCCTGATTGATGCCTAACTACTCCCCTGCCAGCTTGTTTGCTCCTAACTGCCCTCCCCTGTCGGCCTGGTCACTTCTAACTGCCCTCCCCTACAGGTTTGATCACCCTCAACTGCCCTCTCTTGCAGTCCTGGTCCCTCCCAACTGCCCTTCCCTGCTGGCCATCTTGTGGTGGCCATATTGTGTCCACATGGGGGCAGCCATCTTTGACCACATGGGAACAACCATCTTGTGTGTTGAAGTAATGGTCAATTTACATATTACTCTTTTATTAGTAGGATAAGGATTGTGTAAGATGGTCTCTCTTCACATGGAGAGTGTACAGATATAAAAGTATAAGTTCAAAGGTTTTAATTCTCAGTTCAAGTAGTAGAGAACAATAGAGCTTTTATAGGAATCTTAAAATAATCCCTTGTTTCTTGTAGATACAGGGCTGGCTTCTCAAAAAAAGTAGAGGCGTATTCTATTTATGTGGATTGTACAGTTATACATCAACATCTTACATTACCTGTGATTCTCATGAGAAAAAAACATTGAAGAGGAGAGTGAGGCTGAACATGTATGGTGACATCTGAGTGGACTTGAACAATGCTGAGAATCTGAGAACTCTAAGGCTTTCTAAGACTTTCTTAGTAATGGAAGCAATTGACCTTCTGGATTATCCTGTAAATCTTAGATTCAACCAGGTAAATGCCAAATCACTAGGTGAGATGCTGACCAAAAGCATAACAGAAGAAAGCTATTTATATCAACTACAGTCACGTAAATAATTATAGAAATGAGGACTATAGAAACTATATTTTATTCCTTGCTTGCTACTCTTTTCATGATGAAAAATATAGCTCTATCTATCCATAAAAATCACATGAATATTTAGACATATTGTTACTTATATACTATATTGAATACTTTCTTTGGATCTACTTTCCTCTCCCCTTACTATTTTATATAAAGGTGTTTTCATCATGGATAGGTTTATAATTGAGTTTTGGAAAACAAAATATTCAGGTAGCACTGTAATTTTGTTGAAGATTAAATATCATCACCCAGAAATGGATACTGTGGTTGATTCTTAGAGATGGATATAATGACTGTTGGTATCTTGTATCTCCTTTTTTGGACAAATGATGAGAGCATTTTTCTTTGTATGAAGGATAGCTTCATCTTATTATTGAGAAAAAGTATAAATACAGAAGTGTATATGTGGCACAGAATAACCAAAGGGGAGAATTATGTCAGTTATGAAGCATTGATCTGTCAGCTCGATATCCAACCTTCTATACTCTAGTTTGTGATGCTGGGGCTGGAACTGTAATTTTCATTTCAGGATATATGTCAGGTTCTTCCAATAGGAGGCACTGTAGAAAGAATACAGGTGAAAATTGAAATTTTTTGTTACTTTCTTTGCCTTTTAATGTTACCATTCACCTTGCAACAGTAGTTAATTCAGTCTCCAGATTTGGGCACACCCAGAACCAGCCTTATTGTGCCCTCCCAAAGGAATCAGTTCCAAATTGTGATTGGGATCCCAAATATACAAGTGTTCTCTTTTGCACCGTCCTGAGATACTAGTGGCCTGTGAAGTCTAAGAAGTCTAAGACTCAGCTCTGAGGAGCCCCTCCTCTGATTACCTGTGACACCAGTGTCAGTCAGGTTGCACTCATCCTTGGATGTATGATTCCAGCTCTGGGGTTTCCTTCTTTGAGCTGCCACTTCTAAGAGAGAAGTAGGCCCTGCATCATTAGACTAACTTGATTTTGATAGAAAAGGATTGCAAAGAGACAAACAAAAGGATAATCATAGGGCTTCCACCCCAACCCCTAATTCTATAGATTAAAATAAAAATAGCACAACATCTCCCAAGAGACCAAGAGATTTGGTCATGAAGTGAATTAACAGGTATGTTAGATGGAGATCTCAGTCTCCTCATGCTTAGTAGAGTGCTGTTTCTATTAAAATCTAATTTGATTGGCTATAGAATTTTTGCAGTTTTTCTAAGAAAATCAGGAGTAGTGATTCCAAAATGTTTCTTTCTGGTTAGACCTGAGAGTTAGATCTTAGTGATGTTTAAGACCCGAAAACAGCTAAGGAGGAGTTGATAGATTTGGACAGATTGCAATCTATGCTTTCTTCTGCTCCTAGATCCTGTTCCCTAAGGCTATTCTATGTGGGGGAAACATGGTTACCTTGAGATTCAAGAAGAGCTGGGGTGATAGAAAGGGAAAATAGTCTCATTCTTTTTCCAGCTTTGCTGAGGTATAATTGACAACTAAAATTCCAAGACATTTAAAATGCACATATGATGGTTTGATACATATGCATTATGAAATGATTCCCCTCATTAATTTAGTGAACACCTCCATCACCTCATATATAAATATGTATATTTATATTTTGTGTGTGAAAAAGAAAATTCGAATTCTACTCTCTTAAATTTTAGTTATACAATAAATATTAAACTATACTCACTATGTTATACTTTCAGACATTATTCATCTCATAACTGAAAGTGTGTTGGCTGAGCAGAAAGGAGTGAAGCATTGACTATTTGAACCCAAATTCAAGTTTTCCTTTAGAGCTAGGTGACTGAGGCTGGTCTTCCCCTGTCTTCCATCTGTTAGAATCTCCAGAAACAATAACATTGAGGGACTGGTAACCACTTCATTTCTCTGGACTTAAGGAAATTCTGCTGCCTCGCTTTATTAGACAGATCCAGATAACCATGTTCATTGTTGTTTTATTTAGTGGTATACTCAGAAAGGTAGAAAATACAACATATGATCACAGTCGTAATATATAAGGCTGCATTATAATTACTATGTTTCCCTATAACTTCATGGAATTATGAAGAACACATTATTTTAAAAAGGAAGCTTAACAAGATAAAGCAACACTGTACTACAGTCCGGCTAAAGCTATGTGCACGTGCATACATAATTTATGACCTATGTATAATTCATATGTATACAAACACCATACTTTATTGAGGCGAAATAGCACAGCAAGGTTAAAAACAAATGGCTAAGCTCAATACAGGCCTTACAATGCCACTGAAAGCCATTTTACTAGCATAAAGGCCTCCGACATGCTGGTATTTACCTACTGATAAATATTTAGACTACTTACATTTTGCTCTCTTGAAAACTAAGCCAAAATAAACATATTTTAAGGCAACCTTTGGAATTGTCAGCCTTTCTTATTTTATCTGCTTTGTGCTATATGCTATTCACAATGACAATCAAAATATTGAACAATAAAGAACAAAGGTTTTAAAATTCACCTTGAATCCATCTTATCCTCTTATAAAATTCTTATCCAATGTACACAAAAGTCATATTTTTATTACATTTATTGGGGTGACATTACTTAATAAGATTCTATAAACTTCAAGTAAACATTTCTATGATACATTATCTGTATACTGCATTGTGTAACCACCACCCAAGGTTTTATTTTTCAGAAACCTTCAACTTCCAGTTTTGAGGAGTTATATTATTGCTTTTTGGCTCCTATCTACTTACTACGTGTTATTGATTTTTAATTTTGATTTCATGTTCGGAAAAGCATCTATTCACACAAGTCTCAGTGCTGATTTAAAAAAAAAAAACTCAGAAAATAAGAATTTATATAATTCAGGGTGACTTGTCTGCAAGCTATTCAACACTGCTGCCCACTTCCATTGTATCTTTGGAAAGATAAACTATCCAGTATACGAGGTTGAATCCTGCAAAAGCGACTGGGAAGAGAATCCGAGAATACTGATCTATTTTACTGGTGCTTCCAGTGGCTGGAGAGAGCGGTGGGGGAGTGGCAGGTGTTGAAGGTAAGATGGGAGCTTTAGGGAGGACTTTGCTGGCTTCAGGGGCTGGGACTATTGGCAAGGTCAGGGAGCTGATTCTTTTCTTCAGGTAGTACTTGGAGTCAGGATGCTGTAGATAAAAGACAAATATTCAGCTTGGGTAAATAATAGAGATCACTTATTTAGATTCATTTTTTTATTACTAATAACTATTTATCAACTATTTCCCTATGATGTAAGACAAAAAAAAATCAGCAAATCCTTATAATATTTGATGGTGCTACTTTTCCAAGAAAGTAGTAAAATAATTTTTAAAAAATGATTTGCTTTCATCCAATATCTTATAAATTAATACATCAGCAATTGCTATGCATGTTTCATATCCCAGGAACTGTGTTGAGATTGTACCAGTAGAAGTACATGAGTCAAGTTGCAAAAGTTTATCCACCCTCTGGTTATGGTTAAGCCTGCAGGTTAATGAGTTTGGGCAATGAGAGGGTGTTTCCATTTGGGATATTAGTTAATATAAGAAAATAATAGCTTGGTTAATTGATACCATGCTTCTAAGACACATTCCCATCCTGCATCATCCTCATCACACATTCATACATTTGAACCAGCTGAGACTAAAGAAATATATATAAAGATGCTTTTATGTGTCAAAAGCCAGTGACAAAGATTAAACTGCCCTTTGGTTGAGTAGGGATGACTTTTTGACTGTTCATTCCTTGAAATACAGCTGCCTCTTAGTTCAGAAGTTCTGTCTTGAGAGCTTTCTGCTTCCCATTCAGAAACTCTCCACTGGTTTCCTTCCAGCTCAAGTGACCAAAAAATGATTCATTTACCACCCTCAGAATTGTCACAGGCAGTTTCCCTGTCATTAAAATTTCTGTTCCTTTGAAATCATAAAACAACCAATCTTAATTTTGAAAGGGATATTTAACACATGAATTGATAGATGAGAAAGACAAGGTCCAGATAGGAGAAATGCACGGGGGAGGGGGAGGCCAACCCCCAACCCCATTGCACAGCTGGTGATCAATTTCAGTGATTGATTCATCCTTAAATTTTATCATTTCTATTCTAAGTATTGGGCCTCATTCAGAGATACTAATCTTTTAGCTTTAGATTCCTTTTATGTCTTTGTAAACTAGGGGCCTTTCTCTGATTCTTTCCTTTAATTATCTACATCCTGTGATCCTCACTTGCCTGGCAGCCAGGTTGTCCTTGCTGGGTCTCTGCCTTCAAACATTTGCAGTACATCATCCCTGCTCTTCTAAAACCACCTTGTTTTCTCCCTGGCAGCAAAATCACCACTTTGTTGCCTGGCAGGGTATATTGCTCACGTGGCAGATGCCTGTGGCTTTAGCCAGCAACCCCACCGCACCCGGGAGAAGGAGCCACCTCCCCCTGCTGGTTAAGCCATAGTACCAGAGGGAACCAGGGATGTGGTGACATTTGCACTGTGGGAAACAACCCGCCCAAAGAGCCTCCTCTCTCTGCTTGAATGTTGCTGTGATTTGTCGCTGAGTACCTAAATAATAATAATCTTGATAGAGAGTTCAAGCCCTGTATGCTTTTAGGGGACATGGGGAAATCTGTTTCTTCACCAAAAGCAAAAAGGAAGCTGTGTACTCAAGTTTAATTTGATATGAACACTGTGAATTTCAAGCAAGTATCTTTATTTATTGGCCCAGGATTGTGCTAGACACTCTGGTCAGAATTAAATAAATCATAGGTGTTGGAGGTAGAAAATAATTTAAAGTACAGATAGACCAGTCTGCTGGTCTAGGACAGGAAATAAGTGATACTTTCTGTTGAAAATATGTGACAGCTGCCCAGCTGGCCTGGTTCAGTGGTTGAGCATTGACTTAGGAACCAATTCCCGGTCAGGGTATATGCCCAAGTTGTAGGCTCGATCTCCAGTGAGGGGCGTGCAGGAGGCAGCTGATCAATGATTGTCTCTCATCATTAATGATTCTACCCCTCTCTCCCTCTCCTTCCTCTCTGAAATCAACAAAAAATATATTTTCAAAAAATCTATGACAGCTAAGAACCACTGTGCTCAAATTCACCAGACACGTTGTGGATAGGACCAGAGTTGTGGTAGTTTGGTCTCCATGGTCTTAAAAAAGAAGCATAGCACCATCTTACAAGATCTTTTATCACATTTCTCAGGATTTAATTTGAATTTTCATTCAGTAAATATTTCATTAATATATTCCTTTTCTGACCCAGTAAAATGTGTCACTGTTTCATTCTCCAAAAAGAAGTATTCTCCTCCCAGATGGATGGAACATTAAAGTCTTTTACTCTAGTAAAATGTCTAAGGCAAGCGTTTAGAGCAGATTTTTTTTCTAAGTTTGTCTTGACTTTTTTTCTTTTTTTCTTTTTTAAAAATATATTTTATTAATTTTTACAGAGAGGAAGGGAAAGGCATAGAGAGTTAGAAACATCAATGAGAGAGAATCATTATCAGATGCCTCCTGCACACCCCCCACTGGGGATGTGCCCACAACCAAGGTATATGCCCTTGACTGGAATTGAACCTGGGACCCTTCAGTCCACAGATCGATGCTCTATCCACTGAGCCAAATGGGTTAGGGCTTGTCTTGACTTTTAATAGAACACATTGCCTCTCTGAATTTGTTTTCCCTTTTAGGGACAAAGGAGGCAGGCATTGAAAAGTTTATTGACATGAAAAAGTGATTGTAAAACATAACCTGCCATAAAAATGTAAGGCATTGTTTCATCTCTTCCTCTTTTTTAGAGATGTGGGGGCAAAATTATTTGTCAACTTCTTGTCATTGCCACAGTGTCACAAATGACTTAAAATGAGGTTGCCAACTTCTCCTTGTCCAGAGTTAACCAACATCATTCAGGACCAAACACCATGAAAATGTTAAGCAAGTGGCATTAGCCTGGAATTAAATGTCCCCTACAATAGTATGCCCCCTTCCCTCATTGATTTCCCCAAATAATCTCTAGGGAGGGTTGCTTAAGTGTTAAGAGGATAGGAGTGTCAGAAAGCCCTGGATTGCAAGTCCATGGATACTACTGAGCTGCTGCAACTTAGAAATGCCATAGATTCCATATACTCTCCCTAAGCCGCAATATACTACCTTTAAAGTTAGAGACAATGATTACTTTCTTTGTTAGTGTTCTTCTTTTCTTTAAGAATTTGAGAAGGACTGTTATACATACATACACACACACACACACACACACACACACACACACACACTTTGTATACTTTTTTGCCTGCTTAGCTGCTACAGCTCTTTTAGCTATTGTAACATACTTCCCTTTAAATATTATTTCTGTAATGCCTTATCTCCTTTCCTGACATTAATGGTAGAGGGCATAGTTTTGTCCTACATAAATATTCCACAGTGCCAGGCTAATGCATGAAACATAGTATATGCTTAATATACATATGCTGAATCAACAAATAAATGAAAATATAAACATTTTTCAAGATTTCTTTCAGTCAACAGGCAAAGAGGAAAGAGCAGAAGGTCTTATGATTACTTTACATTATATTTTAGTATGTTATTTTTACATTACATTATAGGTACTGTATCTAAATGCTTGCTATTGAAAAGCATGGCACGGCACTTTGCATGCATTATTTTGTTTATTCCTAGAAGGAATCTCTTATGCAATAATATTATTTTCATTTTAAAGATGAACAAATGAAGTTTTAAGCAGAAAGCTTACATAAGTAATAAGTGGAAACTCCCGAATTTAATCCCTCTTAGGTACCAGAGATCACATTCTATTGTATAATTGTTGTTTCTTCCCATCAACTTTTTGATTTGGAGCATGGTTTCTCCGCCACAGGGCCATCAACATTGTGAATAGGATAAATCTTTGTTGTGGGGGGCTGTCCTGTACATCATGGGGTGTGGAGCTGCATCTCTGTCCTCTAGTCATAAGATGCCCATAGTACCCCTCCCCCTGCTTCTTCCCAGAGTTATGACAACTGTAAATATCTCTAGACCTTTCTTGCCAATATCCTCAGGGTAGAGGGTGGGAGAGGGTAATCACCTACCATTGAGTATATCTACTTTACAGTCACAATGGTCCCACAGCCCAAAGGTGATTGGAGGATGTCTAACAGGAAGCAAAAACATATGCTCAAGGAAATGCATAACACCTGGCTAAGGCACATGCTGGATAATCAACTCCTAGATAATTGGAAATTCATAATACAGGAGACTCAGAACCAATTTAGAAGAATCACATTGAATTTCTGAAATGAAAAAGAAAGCCAATTTTCCAAGCCATTCAGCTTCAGGTTTTCATCAGACCCAGCCTGCCTGCTCATTGTAAGCTTAGCAGCTTCAGTTGATGGTGAAATAGGCTTTAGTCATCCTCCAGATGAGGGCTTAGCTTGGGGCTTTCATAGTATTGAGTGGAACACCTGTGGTTTTGAATTCTTCCACGGCCCCCTGCTGCTGAGTGCCATCCTGCTATGGGTATTTTAAGAGCACAGCTTTGTTTTAAGTAACACCATATCGCAAAGATACTTTGAATTAAGCTGGACTTTAAGGCAATCAGTATTTGATGTAGGGATAAGGCACTTGGGGAGAACTTAGAGCAATTCAGATACAATGTTCAGTGAGTCTTACACGTTACAGAGAAGGGGGCAATGGATTACCTCTCAAGAGAGATTCTAGCTGGGGACTGCATTACTCAAGGGACTAATATTGCATCTGCTTCTAGAACCAGCAAAGAAGGGTATCAAAATAAGAGAAAATACTTTTTAAACATTTAGTATTTGACATTTCTTTAAACTGTCCTATTGCATTAACCTATCATATCACTATGGAGAAAATAAGAACTCCATCCAGTTTCCCTGCATTTATGCTACAGCTGGTAGAACTGGAAACAGAGCTGAACCCAGAAGTTCTAGAGAAAAGCAGCTTATTGGCAGCAATCTGGTGGGTCACTGGTGCTAGGGGTATGTCTGGAAATCATATTGGAATGTTTGGAGGGTGAGGAATGGAATATTAGATGAGGATTTGATAGAAGATATAGGGGAAAAGCTAACCACCTACATCCCTCACCTAGTCCACCACTCCCTTTTTGTAAGTCCAACAATGACACAACCTTAAGAAGGGGCACCGGGAACTTTATGGTGTTCAGAGTCTCTGATGGTCTTAATTCAATCCTTCATTCTTTTGAGAAATGGTGGTACTCAAATATTGTCAATATTTGAAATCAAGGAGGTAAATCTTTCAGTATTCTGTACTTCCTAGATTGCGAGCCACATGTGGCTCTTTGGCGCCTTGAGTGTGGCTTTTCCACAAAGTACCACAGCCTGGGTGAGTCTATTTTGAAGAAGTGGCATTAGAAGAAGTTTAAGTTTAAAAAATTTGTCTCTCAAAAGAAATTTCAATCGTTGTACTGTTGATATTTGGCTCTGTTGACTAATGGGCTTGCTGACCACTGACCTAGGTAATGGTCCAGCAGACATTCCAACCTTGTCAAGGGAAGAGGCCCTATTGATGTCACTCATTAATGTATCCTCAGGATTCTAAAAGAATCTGCCACATAAAAGTACTTACAAAAATTCCATGGGTAGATACTCAATAAATGTGTACTAGGTGAAAACAAAAATGAATAAATGAATAAATAATGTAATCAGTAGAACTGAAGGTATTGTCCAGACTAATGACATTTTGATCAATTTTGTTTGTAGATAATTTACCAAGAACATCATACCTCCTCTGAAAAAGAAAAGCCACATTGGATGCCTTAATGGGAGGGGGTAGGAGGAGGGGATTCTCTTAGGAACAAGTAATGAGGGCTTAGATTTTTAAAATAACAAGGAAGTTAGCAAAACATTCAAAAAGAGAACAAGGTCCAAACTTGGTTTTGCATGCAGAATAGTATACCTCAAATGCAGGTTCTGAAATACAAAGATAGGAATAGCTCTCTAATGCCAAGATAACCTACCAGATAAAAACAATAATGAAAAATGCCCTATAAATAAAAGAGAAATTGTGGACACTTCCTTCTCAAAACATAAAAAAAAAATTAAAGTCTGTAGTTCTAAATGACTTAAAAACAGAAAACTAATTAATCTCTAAGTACTTCGGAGGATTTAATTTTTGCATTTCTATCAGTTTGAGTACTAGATTTAAAATGCCTGAATTTATTGTCATTATCTATAATAATAAAAGCGGGATATGCTAATTAGGCCAGAAGTCCTTTCGGACAACCTTCCAGACGAAGCCAGGGCTTCGAGGGAAGCCCAGGTCCTGGGTGCCAGAGGGAAGCTGGTGCCAGCAGCCTGGGGAAGGAAGGCCTACTTTTGCACACATTTTGTACATCAGGCTTCTAGTTTTATTACTGGTATATTTAAGGTAAAAAATCAGTGGTAAACTTTTTTCCACATTCATTATAAGAAGTTGCTTATGAAAAGCAGTGATTCCATTAAAATATAAAAGAATCATATAAAATATTCAAGCTCTTATTTCATTTCAACTTCACCATTGGCTTGCTATTTAGTGTCCAAGTTACTCAAGTAATGTTATTTTGATTACAACTGGATAGACATTTTTAAATGTCATGATATTTGAAAAGAAGAAATGACCTAGCAATCATAATATACCATTGTGTTGTATAACTTTTGTTCTGCTACATTGTATAAGACAAGCCTCCAAGTTTTGACATAAATAAATAAAATGTAAATGTTCTATGTAATCATCTGTATTTATTTTTGACATTATAAGATTGGTATTGGTAAGTTTAACTTTTATTTTTATTTTTATGCTTTGACCTAGCCTTTCAGAAATGAAATTCTTCTCTTTATTGTCTTAAAATATTTTCAGTAGAGCCAGGTTTAGAAATATATTTTTCATAAGAAAGACATCAACTTGCAAAAAAAAGGTAATTTGAGATGACTTAAATGCAATATTGTATCCAGCTTCCCAAAGCATTGCACAAGATAGTTTATATGAAGTCCTGAGATCTTAAATTTCATCTTATTAATAAATTATACCTTTAAAATAATAGGCTAAGGAAATAATAACCATACTTTCTCCAAGGATTTGAAATCATATCCTTTCAGTAATGTATATTTCAAAAGAGTTAAAGTAAAGAAGTTGGTCTTTCTATTTCTATATCAGATCAATGAGCATATTCAAAATCATCAGAATTATTTTTTACCCTGCTTCTCATGAATTTCTCTTTTAATTTTTACCATTTCTCAAAATGAACTGTTAAGCTGAATTCTTATATGCATTAATTATTCTTCCTTTATGGATGTATGTTAATATATAACCTTTAGACAATATGTTGATTATATAGTTATATAAAAACAGATGATTTATAGCATAATCACTTTTTTTTACTAGCATAAAATAATTCTCAAAAACATTTGGAATTTATTTTTTTTAAAGTGATTTTTAAGTGTATTAGACAAAACCTTCAGGCTAACATTTTTGTTATAAAATTTATATTTTATCACCTTTCAAAACATATCTACACTTAAAAAACATCATTAAGGCAAGGGAAGAATTTGGGGAATGACCTCACCTACATTCTGAAAATATATGTTTCAGTGTTTGAGGAATTGCTGGGGAGGGGAAGACCTCTGTACAGTTTGTAGATAGCAAGAGTTCTAGAATCAATTTCTAGATTTCCTACCAACTAGTAACTAATGATTTTCCTCTGTTTTCAATTTGTAAGTGAAAATAATTGGACTATATTACATGATTTGTTTTTTAGTTAGTGATAATTCAAGAAAAAATATTTACATTATATATTTTCACTTATCATGGGAATAGCCTTACAGTGTTTTATTTCCTTACAGAAAATGTAAATTGTCAAACAAGTTTCTTAGTTTATCAAAGAGAAAAGTTTAAGTAAAAAATATATATATATCATTCTTTAGCTGATAGATGCATGAGAAGTAGAATACTCATAGCTTTATAATTTTTATCATAAAAATTAACCAAGAATTAACTGGACTGTATGTCGTTCTACAATTTGGAATATTCAAGAGAATTGATCAATTACAAGGAAATTTTCGATTGAAATATCTGCATTACTAAATTTTATAGAGTAAAATTCTTCTTTTTCTAGAGTCACTGTTTTGACTTTGTATTCATATAAAAATCTATACTTGTCAATCAATTCTCTAATCCATTTAAAAAGTTTGTGCAACTTAATTGTTGGGAGAATTTACTCATATGTAAAATTGAAATTTGGGGACACATTAATGATCCTTGAACTATTAATGCTGTCATTTGTTTCTTACTCAAAGCACCTCTGAAGATTAGAGCTTAGCCATGGCAAATCTAAACTGAATGTATAGGTATTTCTCACTGAGCATAAATCTTTGACTAAAATCATACCTATAGCAATGTTTTCATATATAAATATGAGAATATTGTCATATGCTTCAAAAAATTGGCTTATGACTCAGCACTCATATAGCCTAATACTCATATCCTGTCCTCATGAATGAAACCAACCAGCAGATTTCCAATAAAAGTTGTCCGTTCCTTCGGAGTCCCTGTTTATTTCCTTCGGGCTCTGAAGCCTCAAAGGCTCATCAAGAACATTATTTCTTTTTAAACTTTATTCTCCCTAGTTCGTAAGTAAACCTGTTCAAAGCAAGCATCTAAAGGCTAAGAAGAATATTCTTGTCTCTGAGCGCGTGAGACCTGCCATTACTAATGAGGGTGATGAAAGAGACATGCCAAAAGTTCAGGTCAAAGATAAGTGAAGGATTCTTGATTGGCTTTTTTTCTGTGAAATTCGAAACGCAGTTGGCCTGGAAACTAGGCTTATGTAACTTCTGCTCAACTAATACTACTACTTTGGGACTATTTTGTTGTTTGTGATCACCGTTTGGATCACCTTTTTTATATGCTGGGTAAGATTAGTAAAATAAACAATTACCAAGACAATTTCAGCCTCCAAGGGTTCCATTGCTTTTGATATTGTCGCTGGGGGTGAGGCTGCAGTCTGTGTGTTTCTTTTGGCCTTTTGTGTCTGAAGGTTGGTGAAGTAGTTGACAGCTGCAAACTCAATAAGAGCAGAGAAGACGAAAGCAAAGCACACAGCTATGAACCAGTCCATGGCGGTTGCATAGGACACTTTCGGCAAGGAGTGCCTGGCACTGATGCTTAAAGTGGTCATGGTCAAAACAGTGGTGATCCCTAAAATGGAAACGAAGAAGAAATGAAGTATTAGCATTTAGAATCTAATAAATAGATGAAAGGAGAACATTTGTTGGTGAGGATTAAACTCTCTCCAAATGTAATTTTTGTTTTTATTTCATTGCTTTATAATTGTTCACAATTATTATGATAGGTATTATCATTTTTGTATCCTTTCACACCTAGTGCAGTGACCTGTACATTGTAGTAACTCAAAACATATTTTGAATTGATTTAGCTTAACTGTTGTAAAATTTAAATCATGAAAAATTTTATTTACTTATTTAGAAAACTTAAAGCAAATTAACACTAAAGTAATAAAACCTTGAACTTCTGATCAATTTTAATAGCTGATAATATCTTTTATCATGTTTAAGAACTCTGGTACAAATAATATTCATAAATTGGGTTCCTCATGTTTTTTTTTTTTTAATTTCTAGCTTGGTTTTAAAGTAAAATATTTACTCATATTCATCTGCCAGCAGCTTTCTGTCTTGAATTCTGAGTTGTGGAATTTATATAATTTGAATATGGTCAGCATCATTATGTAGATATTCTTTTATTATTTGCAGAAAGAGATCTATTCTAATACAGTAAATTAAAAAGTCAAAATTCATCTGAAATTTCAGTTCAACTTTTGTCTTAGGAACTGCCAAATTGGTAATCATAACAATTCATAAAAAGTTAATATTGTTAGTGCTGATATTTTCTGTTATTTTTTATTTTACATTCATTAAAGCTAGTGATGGTTCTATACATCATAAATGGGACTAAATATTTAGGTTGAAATATGGAAAATTAGTAATACTTAACTCTTTTTAGACACATAAAAACAGCAGTTTTTTATGGTTCAAACTAATAAAAGTGAGATACAATGTATATGTTATGAGTTCAATAACTTAGCCTATTTTTATGGATTTACATGTAGGTTTTAACTTTTAGCTGTCCCTTGGTTATGAAAAATCAAATAAAGATTTTTTTTAAAGCCTTACTAAATAGGACATATGAAAGTCACAGGAAACCAGTGAGAATTCTCACTGAGACAAATTTTTTGTTGATTCACCACACAGCTTGTAATAAGATAAGGGTCATTTTTCCTGATACATGTGTCTGAATGAGATACGTGTCTTATTTCCTTTGTGGACTGAAAAAGTGCACTGGTGTGAATATTTCCCTAAAAGACCCAAGGCCTGAGAGCTGGAGGATGAATGGAAATAGATTCCAAAGAGTGAAGCATACCAAAGACAGTTCTGGCAGGAACAGACTCCTTATTAATCCAGAAAGACACTTGGGAAAGAATGACGGTCATAATGCAAGGAGTATATATCTGTATCATGAAGTAGCCCATCTTCCTTTGCAAATGGAAATTAACTGTCATTATTACGTATTCACCTGTTGGAAGACACATATATCAGTATTATTGCCGTTGATAGTGTGTAAAAAAGAATACAACTGGGAATAAACCTTGCAGGTTTTTAAATTAACTTGGGCCAGAAGAAAACAAGCAAAGGCATATTTTAATGGATGGCAAGGGCATTCATCATCAGGTGATAGATACATCCGTTCACTGTTTTCAGTGGGGTTCTTTGTGTCATTTGCATCCAAAACTATTCATTTCAGGGATGCACAAATCTCTACGTGCACATGGCTGCAAAATCAATTTTAAAGAAAACGACTCATCACTTAAAAACATCAAGCTTATCTGAGGTTGACGAATGCAAAGGAAGAAGAAATAGATATTTTGAAGATGCCTCGCCGGAGTCACCTTGCATCCATGCATTGGTCAAATCCTCACCTGTGTTAGATTTAATCGTCTCGCTCGATGCTGTTTGTCCGATCAGATCATACTGGAGGAGGCTCGAAGATTCCTCTGGGACTTCGACTGAGTACAGTGGCCCTTTTTTCCATGTGTATATGATTTCACTTTTGGGGTAGGCATCTGCATTTTTTAAAAAACAAATTAAACATAATAGTGAATTTGATTAGTAGTGGGTTTTTCTTTCAAAGCAAATTTTGTTTGTGTAATATGGAAATACAGACACAAACTTTCTTTAATGCTTTTCTTTAATCTGGGTAACTGAAATCTCTGACTGTGACAGATATGATTAAGTAAATATATTCCAGGAATCACACTTTGAATGTCATAGTAATATTTTTCTTTTGCTTTCCAGTCTCTGGCTAAAACCAAATAATTGCCTATTTAATGCATTTTTCTACTCTCAGAAGTTTTTTTGTAACTTACAACTCCCAAACTTGAGTGGGCAAGCATGCCCGTCCATGGGAAAGTTAACCAGCTTCATGGGACAGTCGGCATTGATGGTAAGCCTAGGGACATTGAAATGAAAGGTTCCCAGTTAGTATGATGGACACATTAGTTGGGCAGAGGCAGTAGAGTTGGAAAAAACCTTACCTCATGGTGTATAGAATGGTTCCATTCTGCATTATTCTGAAGAGTTTATTAGGAGTTGTCATATTGTGAGCAATTGATTTTTTGCCATTCCTGAAAAAAGTGTCAGGTGTCCAAATTTTACTGACCATCAAGTTATTCAAACTCAGAATTTCAGTTGGCCCTCTAAACTTCAACCGCTCATCAATCCAAGTCTGGCGGAAGAAAACATCCATGGTATACTCCTAAGAGAAAATATGATATTTATGCAAGCTGGGCAGATGGTTTGTTAAGAACTAGAGGCCCGTTGTAGGAAGATTCCTGCAAGAACAGGGCTTCTGGTGGGCTTCCCTCCTGCCACTACCACCTCTCCTGCCCGTCCCCCCCCCCCACCATGCTTTCCCTGCAGCCTCTGCCCTTCACCTCCCTGACCCCCCACTTTTTCTCCCGCCATCTCTGCTCCTTACCCCATGCTTTCCCTCACTCAGCTGCCGTCCCCCCTGTGCTTTCCCTCCTGCCACCGCTGCCCAGTGCTTTCCCTTCCACTGCCATCCCACACTTTGCTGCCGCTGACCACCACTGCCCCACCCTCATCCCTATTTTGAGGGCTTTCCCTCCTGCTGCCCCACCCTCAGCCCACACTTTGCTGCTGCTGACCACCGCCCCTGCCATCCCACACTCAGCTGCCGTCCCCCCTGTGCTTTCCCTCCCTCAGCCGCAGCAACCACCTTGCTTTCCACTTTCTCTCCCTCTTCCTTCTATGCTATCTCAGTCTTCACTCCTCCCTCCCTCAGCATATGCAAATTAACTGCCATCTTTGTTGGGTTAATTTGCATACTCACTCTGATTGGCTGTGGGCATAGCAAAGGTACTGTCAATTAGCATTTTTCTCTTATTAGTGTACTGTAGATAGTTTATTCACCAGCTTATCTACTCAATCTTAAAACTTAAGGAACAAAGCAACTTTTTGTGGCAATAATTTATCAGAAAAGTTATAATTTCAGTGAAGTGTTATTTTTCTCAAAGTTTGTATTATCATAAAGGATAGTGTTGTGCTGTGGAAATTTTCCTCCTTAATGTTGACCATCTTCAGCATACTTCTTTTTCTGTCACCCATCCCTCCACTATCAACTTTTCAATACCTCCATCCTCGATTTAGAAAAAAAATATGAAAAGATAAAAACTCTAGGTTTTGTGTTGTCCTCCTTACCATCAGTTAGGCCAGTGGTCAGCAAACTTATTAGTTAACAGAGCCAAATATCAACAGTACAACGATTGAAATTCTTTTGAGAGCCAAATTTTTTAAACTTAAACAACTTCTAACGCCATTTCTTCAAAATAGACTTGCCCAGGCTGTGGTATTTTGTGGAAGAACCACACTCAAGGGGCCAAAGAACCGCATATGATTTGCTAGCCATGGTTTGCCAACCACTGAATTAGGCTAACCATTCCCCTTAGCAATTCGTATACCTTCAAAGGTGTCTCTGAGCATCATGATAACATTTAGTAAAGTTCCAAGGATGAATTTTACTTGACGAGCAGGCTCTTACTGCACATCATAATTATTTTATATTGTTTTCAGAGAACATAAAAGCAAATGTTACCATGAATACTCAGAAAGAATATTATTCAATTATGCGCAATAATAACTATGAGTTTTAATTTGTGTTTTTTATTAAATAGCATTAAGATATTAAAACTTATGACAAGGGTTGTTGCAAAAGTTAATGATAAATAACAATGTAATTATATCAAAATATTGACAGTAATTGTTTTGCCTACTTTATGCATTCTTTTACTAGACCTATTACTACAAGTGGTGACAATATTTTAAAAATCTAATTTGACACAATAGATTCATATAATAATGATTCAGGCTATAACAAGACTCTATTGTACAAATAAAAAGGAGACAAGTGCATAAAGTTCCAAGTATCCCCAGATATCAATTAATACAGTAGAATATGGTCATGCTTATTTATATACTAGAGGCCCATTACATGAATTATTGTATGGGTGGGGTCTGGCTGGCCCACCTCACCGGGGGACAATCAGGCCAGGCCAGCGCGGGGAGGGAATGCAGGAGGTTGGTCAGTCCTGCCCTCGATCAGGGTTGGTAGGGTGGCGATCAGGGCCCCAATAAAGCTGGTTGACCACTGCAGTGCACATATAGTGACTGGTCATTGTGGTCATTCTGTCATTCCAATCACTTGGCTTTTATGTATATTAGATAGGTGACTCAGTACTCAAATGAAAAATATAGTAGTGAAATAATTGAAGATTCTGATCTTAAGACATTTACCTCTTAAATAGAGTCCCTGTCCCCTCCTCTTTCTGATTTTCTTTTTAATTTTTTCCTCTTTCTCTTCCTTTTTTATTTCTACCTTTTTCTTCCTTTTCTTCTTTTTTCCTTTTCTTGTCAACTCAAAACGCAGACCATGAAAAAGTTTCTAACAATTGTTTATCTAAAATTATATTCCCTAATAAAGTGTAATGACTTAAGAGGATCCCAATATCACTAGACTTTTTAAAGCAGTAAGAGCTGTGTAGGAATCCTTACAAAGTTATATTCATTTCAGTTTTGGTATTTATATTTTACTTTTAGGAGGCAGTGCTACCTACAAACTATGACAGCATATTATCATCTACTTTGTTGTAGCTAGGTCAGGTTTTCATTGCCACTTACTATAAATATCCTTTGATGAATACTGCCATCTGTACCTGGAGCAGAGTCCCAAGAACACCTACTGGTCTATTCACTCCATAAAAGGTGGACAGCATTGGCCTTTCCAAATGGCACCCTTCACTCTTTTAATTAAATATACTGGAAATGATGTACTACAAAAAAAAAAAATCTATGTTTTAACTTTCATGGATGTTCTCAATATACTCTGGCATGGTACCTTAGCATTTGCTACTCCAAACATTTACTAGGACTTCATAAATATATGAAAAATATGCTCTTTGAAGGGAAAAATCAGTGCATGACATGTGGATGGAAGAGAGGAGAGGCTGTCCAATTATAAAAATCCCTCAGATTAAAGTGCTCAGGCAGAGCCCTTGGTGAAGGAAGGTAAGATAGGAATGTGCTCTAAGTGCCATGCCCTCCCAGCATGAGTTCACATAGTGCATGATGGTGCTTGGTAACCATAACCATTATCATTAGTTCTGAGTCCTGGCCCTCTCTCCCCCTAAGTCAAGTTGCCCTCCTCATGCAGAACTCACTCACCATCTCCACATCTGACACGGGCCCAAAACTGGTCACATAAATGTCTATTTTGACTTCAGTGACAGCACCTGAAATTAGCACATAAGGATGGGGGCAGTTATCACCAGGGGAGTTGAAGGATCTGAACTTAATGACTCTTCAGTAAACCCCATCTCACAGCTGGAATGTCCAACCCATCCTAAAGCCCTAGTAGTGGGGTCCTTGAATTTTCAACTCTTAAAAATTCATACCAGTTGCCTTATTTTGAATTTAATCTGGTCAATTTGAGGAATTTAAGGAAAAGAAGAGAACTAGGGGAGAACTCTAAAAAAAATAATAACTAATTGATATATTTAATGGGACAAATGCTATGAAAAAAAGTGTTTTACATGGACAATCTCATTCAACACTCACACAACTCTATGAGGTAAGCACTGTTCAGACACTCACACTACAGCTGAGGAAATTGAGGCTGAAAGAGTTCAAATAACTCTATATAAGATCTCTAATTGAACAGGGGAAGGTAGTGGATGGGAATACACACATGGCCTCTCTCCAGGACCCCTGCCTTGGAATGGCGTTAAGGGGAAAGGAGTACAGATGCTTGGTCTGTTAAAGGATACTGCCTCTCACCTCCAAATCCCGGCCGTAGCCGATTGTCATAGCCTTCAAGCAAGTTGTCCAGGATGCGACTGATATTCTTCGAGTAGTCGTTTCCTTCATCTTCAAAGTTCCCTTGGATGTTTTCTACCCTGTGAGTAGACAGTCAATGATCCTCACTCCCAGCCTCAGAGAATATGTACTGCTCAGTCACCTGTGTCTTCCCCACCACAGCTAATGCCACACCACCCAGGCTTCTTTCATGGTTTGGTATAGAAGCCACCCAGTGGGTGTGTGCTTCTCCTTTGCCCTGAGCTAAAAGGAAAAAAAAATCAGGAAAAATATTTTACTTACCATAAAATAATGTACAGCCAGGGCAGAGGTGATGCCATTCCGCCGTGCACTGAAATGCCCATTTCGCCTTCCTCCTTGTTTGTCCTCCCCAACAGCCAGCTCCCCTTTGCCAATCAACTAGAGCGACCTTCTGGACCCCCTCATGTCTCTTTTCCTTGTTTGCATCCAGCCAGTAATCCAGTAGATGCTGAAGTTGCCAGACAAGTTTTGAGGTGTCCCCCTTGTTCCTTTTTCACGTGGAACGCGGTGGTTTGTATTCTCAGACTACGTCCTGATGGACACTCAGCCTCCTCTGCCTGACTGATTTGGGAAAGGAGCGTCGGCGGGGACAGGACAGTGCATGGTTGGAGAGCAGTGACAATAATCAGATAAGGCATTAGGGGAGATTGGTAGGAAGAAATCCACTGCTAGTTTTGGCATGGAACTAGCAGAGCCCTGTGAGAAAATCTGGAAAGCAGTGGCATCTTGCTGACTGAGATTATGTTCCAATGGGCTTAGCATTTATTATTTCCATGGTGCACAGAAGGATTCCTACACAGCTCTTACTGCTTAAAAAAGTCTAGTGATATTGGGATCCTCTTAAGTCCTCTTTCTGATTTCATCAGCTTTCTTACATCTAACACACCTCTTGTGTGTTTAAAAATTGTCCTTGATTATTCAATGAAAAAAAAACAAAACTTATAACCAAGCAGAACAAATCCTGGCCATCTAGATATTGGGATAGTGGGTTTTTGTTTGTTTGTTTGTTTGTTTTCTTTAAGTGCTTTGCTGATCCTTCCTGTCCAAGATATGTCATTTCAAGCTAAGATATATAAGTGGATCTTACCATTATCTTTAGAACCTGGCCAGCTTCATGAATGGTGCCTGTAGGAGACAATGTCTGGAAAGAGCTGATTAAGATTCCCTAGGTAGAAATGCTGTAAGAATGAAGCATCTGTAGACATGGTTAATGTTGATGTTGCTAGCACTGTTTTAGTAGGCTTGCCACAGGTCAAAAGTAAAATGTTTGAACCCGAAAAATAGCATTTTTCCCCAGTCTGATAGGAGTCTCTTTAAGCCTTAATATTTTCATTTTTAAATTAAAAAGTAAACACAATAAAGGAAAACATTATATAGTACACATTGATTGTTTTATATTAACTAGAGGCCCAGTGCATGAAACTTGTGCATTGGTAGGGTCCCTAGCAGCTGCCAGCTATCAGCCGGGGCCTCCCTTCCCAGACTGTCAGCTAGGGGCTAAGGCCTTCCTTTGTTCCATTCCACCCCCTGGTGGTCACCACACGTCATAGTGAGCGATGGAACTCCTGGTCTCCAGGTCTCCTGGTTGAATTCTCAAGGGGACACTTTGCATATTAGGTATATATATATACATACATACACACACACACACACACACACACACACACACACACACATATATATATATATGTGTGTGTGTGTGTGTATGTATATGTATATAGATATAGATATAGATATAGATATAGATTAATACTATGTTAATATGTATATATTAATTCAAAAACATAAGAACAAGAGGAAAATATCTCACTTCACCATCCTCCTGCCAAATCAAATTCACTCACTATCTATCCTAATTCACACAAGTCTGTACCTTCAGACCTAAATTCTATGAAGCTGATGACAACTATTTCATACATGAAGCACAATCTTAGAGTCATTTCTGAAGACATGACATAAGTCATTTGAAGAGCATTTCAAGACATTATCTATAACCAAGAAAAAGCAACAGAAACACGAAGGATGCAAGATTTTCTCTGAAATAGTTCTTTAAATTAAATTTATTGGAATAACATTGGTTAGCCGAGTTAATGAGATTATATAAAGTGGACATTTTTAAAATCCCTTGTGTGTCCACTTCTCAAAGTTAAATCATCTTCTGTCGCCATGTTTTATGTCTTCTTTACCATTTACTACCCTCCACCTCTCTCTCTGGTAACCACCATACTGCTATATCTATGAGTTTCAGTTTTATATTTCACATATGAGTGAAATCATATTGTTCTTAGCTTTCTCTGAATAATTTATTTTGCTTAAATGATATTCTCAAGGTTTATCTAGGTTGTCTCAAATGTATTTTATATTTTATTATGGCTGAATAGTATTTCATATATACATAACTAGAGGCCCAATGGCAGAAATTCATACACTGGGGGCAAGGGATCCCTCAGCCCAGCCTGCACCCTCTAACAATCCAGGACCCCTTGCTACTTACCACCCACCTGCTCACTCCTTACTGCTCAGCTCACTGCTCCTTAGCACTGCCAAAGAGGTGGGAGAGGCTCCCGCCACTGCCATTGCTCTTACTAGACATGAACCTGTCTTCTGTCTGAGCAGCACTCAGCCTGTGGTAGCGCACTGAACACCAGGGAGCAGCTCCTGACCCCTGGTGGTCAATACACATCATAGTGACTGGTTGATCTACCATAATGGTCACTTGAGCTTTTATTACATAGAAGATACTAGAAGCCCTGTGCATCAGTGGGGTCCCTCGACCTGGCCTGCAGGATCTGGCTAAAACCAGCTCTCCAACATCCCCCTAAGGAATCTGGATTGCAAGAGGGTGCAGGCCAGGCCAAGGGACCCCACTGGTGCATGATTGGGGTAGGGCAGGAATGCAGGAGGTTAGCCAGCTAGGGAGGGATTATGGGAGAGGTCCAGGGCATGTCTGGCCTATCTTACTCAGTCCCAATCAGCCAGACCCCAGCAGCAAGCTAAAGTACTGGTGGGAGCCTCTATTTTCTGGTGGTCAGTGAACATCATAGCAACTGGTTGACTGGTCAACTGTCTGTCCCCTGGTGGTCATTGCAAGCCATAGTGAGTAGTTTAGCAGCCTTAGCATATCATTAGATATTATGCTTTGATTGGTGGAACGGATGACCAGACAACCAGATGACCAGACACTTAGCATATTAGGCTTTTATTATATAGAACATATAATCTCAAATTTTCTTTAGCAAGTCCTCTATCAAAGGATACTTCAGTTACTTCCATGTCTTGGCCACTATGAATAGTACTGCAATGAACAGAAGGGTGCATATATCTTTGCAAATAAATATTTTCAAAAATTTTAAGTAGATACCCAGAAGAGGAATTGCTGATTTATCTGGTAATTCTATTCTTAATTTTTTGAGGAACCTGCAGATTATTTTCCATAGTGGGTGTACCAGTTTACATTCCCACCAGCAGTTAATAAGGGTTCTCTTTTCTCTACAACCTCTCTAGCTCTTGCTATTACTTGTCTTATTGATAATAGTTTTTCTAACAAGTATGAGGTGATATCTCATTGTAATTTTGATTTGCAAATTTTAATAACTAGTGAAGTTGAGTATATTTTTGTATCTGTTGTCCATTTGTACGTCTTCTTGAGAGAGGAGTCTGTTCAGGTCCTCTGCCCATTTTTTCATTGAATTTTTTGTTTGTTTCATGTTGATTTGTATGAGTTCTTTATATATTTTGGACATTACCATTTGTCAGAACTGTTTTTTTGCAAATATTTTCTCCTGCTACATTGGTTGCCTTTTTGTTTTGTTAGCAGTTTCTTTTGCTGTTCAGAAGAGTTTTAGTTTTATAGAGTCCCATTTAGTTATATTTGCCTTATCTTTCCTTGACTTTGAAGTCATGTTCATAAAAATCTTCTCCGAAACCAAGTCCAGAAGTTTAGTATCTATGTTTTATTCTATGTAATTTTATTGTTTCAGATCTTATACTTAGGTCTTTGATCCATTTTGAATTAATTTTTGTACATGGGACAAACTGTAATCTAGTTTAATTCTTTTTGCATGTGAGTTTCCAATTCTCCAAGCATTACTATAATCATTATCGCCATCATCATTTTTGGCCAAATCAAATCTTTTCTCTCCAGCACTAGAAATGGAATTTTAAAAAAATTAGTTTTGTCTCTGTATGAATGAAAGCTGCCGGTTATTGTGGATGGCCTGTTTTGCCAAGCTCATGCAACGTGAGAAACAGCTGTAGAGAGATCAAAAAACAGAAATGCAGCATTTGTACAGGATGAAGTACAGACACATCACTAACCCACCCACCCTCCAAAAAACAAAAACAAAATGCACACACACACACAAAAAAACAACAACACCTGAGCTAGCAGCTGCCTGTGTTTCTGACAGCCTCCCTGATTCTGTTCCTTCATAGTAGAGATCTCATTTCTGCCCTGCAGTTCCTCCCAAAAGCACTGCATCCTTCTTATAAATCCCTCTTCTTTTTCACTCCAGATAAGTGAGTTAGTGTCACTAGCTCTTAAAAGGAGCCATTTAATCCATGAGACTATGTCCTGTACTTAAAAGCAAAACTTCAGACTATGAAGATACAGTTTGACTCCTGGTTACGCTGCATGACCAACTGCAGAGCACACATGGGGAAGGTTGAATCCTGAGTGTATTCCCTGGGCTTTCTAGAAAGGCTCCAACATTGCATCTACTTGATCTGGCTGCTTAATAAATCCTTCACAGCTCCAAGGAGTGGAAGGCATTTTAGTAGCCTGCATGAACTCTCTCAGGCCACTAGGGGACCACTGAGCATCATCTTCCAGCCGTGCCACCCACGTCCCAGAATCTGTTTGCCTATTTATCAGGTGCTTGGAGTACAGGACAGAGGACGGAATTTTGGGTTCATGCCCAGGGATGAGCTCTGGGGAAATGCTGCAGAAGAACAAGCAGAATGGAGGTCTATTAACATGAATTCTGTCGGACTTGGATAAGATATAAATCCCAAACCCACTGCCTTGTAAAGGGATATTCTCAAAGCTCATGATACAAATAAACATTTTGAAACTGTCATGAAAAGGGCAGAGGCCTTCATGAGAATAATGGTACCCTTCATATTATCATATACGACTTCATGGTTCATTTCAGGATAAAATATAAAGAGCATTGCTATTTATATAGAAATGATTTAACCTGGGAGAGAAAAAAAAATAAGCGATACTGGGGAAATTTCAGAGAAGAGGTTAATAGGTGTTTGATGCCTGTTTTAAGCTAAAGACTTATCAGTGACTAATGATGTAGCACAAAATAACAACAACAACAACAAACATATAACCCCCAAAACAAACATACAAACACCTGGCAAAGCTCTGTAACAAAACCTGACTATCAAAGAAACAAGTAATTATTTTACAATAGACTTATAACAGGCTTTTGGAGGGAGCACGCAGGGAGTCCAGTATCTGAGATGTCAGAATTAAAATAGCCATACAGCTCCGTGGACTTGCTGTGAGCTCTTTGTTGTTGCTGCCTGTTTGGCTATTATAGTGCTCTATCAGCAAGGGATGTTAGATGTAAACCTAGGAAACCCAGCTTGCAGTGGCATAAACAAATGGTTTATT